ACACTCTGGATCTGCTTTTCATATCAGCTAGCCTAAACCTTAGTTCAGAACTTCTCCAAAGAGCTTCTGCATCTATTTGCCTGCAATTATATCAGCACTTTTCCTACACATGACCTGTGACCGTGCCAGCCTGCTCTGCTACACCCTATACCCTCCTGCAAGAGTTACTCTGCGTTTGTTGCAGGAAACTCTCTTTCCACTTTCTGGGATAGCTGTTCCAACACATCAGAGGTCTCAGTTAGGGACCATCTCAATTGTCTGTGTGGGATAAACAAACACATTTTGTATGATTTGGTCTTGGTGTCCTGGAGAAACTTGTACTCTAAGACCAAGTGGATATGGCTGACAAATTTTCTCAGTGCATTTTCCAGCTTTTCTCTGTGCCTGAGGCCTGGCCTGTAGCCATGGGATCACGGAAAGCTTCCACAGGGGAAACTCACCACAGGGACGGCACTCCTCCTCTACACTTGGGAGGAAGGGTGGTTTTCAGGCTGTATTCAAAATAAGCATTGCTCAGTGCTCTGGTTTAACCCTCACTGACATTTATTCCCCTCTCAGGAACAGTCACGTCTCCCCTCTCGACTTTCATTTTGCAGGATTAAACAAGCTAGGCTTCCAGGCTTCCTTCTAAAGCCTTTCTAATCCCCTGTCTGTGCTAGAAACCCTTTAATTCTTGTTTAGTTCGTATGAATCTTTCTTGAGCATCATTTACCAATGCATGCCCGGGTGCAGATGTGACCTCACCCGTGCTTTCCCACTGCATTAGCACACCCTGCACTCCACGGACTGTGTCTCAGCTGATAGATCTTCACTCACATTTCTCTGTTTCACGATTGCATCACATTACTCATCACGACCATTCTGATTCAGTAATTTATCCATTATTTTTCAGTGATCTATCCTGCTCTTCACAGTACTCTGCTTGTTTCCATCACCTGGTAGCAAATGTGCCTATTTTGCCCCTGGTAGAGGACTTTATGCCCTGCCCTATTGCATTTTGTTCTCGCTCCAGTGTCTGGGCTCATCCAACAGGATTTCCTGCTCCTCCTGGATGCTCCAGACTCCTCCCGATTTTAACCCACTGAATTACTGAAGGCGCTACCGTTTTTGTGCTCAGGTTATGGATAAAATATTGCTAAATCCAACTGATGGGTGTGAGAGCTCTCTCACCAGCAGAAGCATGGCATGAGCAGAAGCAGTTTCCCCTCTACAAATAGCACAGCTCTTGCCTAAGTGCCAGTTGCCTCCAATTCAACTCTAGCTCCTCATCTGACAGGGCTTTCTCAGAATGCCCCCGGATAAGATCTGCAACATTCTTATTTTTTTAGTAAATAGATTTCAAACCTATTTTATTCAATTTTCCACTTTCCTTCAAGTCTTTCATTATTTCCCTTTCAAAATGTGTTTTGTAGCCCTGCAACTCACTCAGTTCAGATTAGCAAGTCTTTTGATTGCTTGAACTGCTCATTACCTCCTTTTCAAATACGAGTATTGCATTTGGTTTGCGTTTTGTGGTGGGTTTTTTTCACTCCTGCTACCTTTCCTGATTTGATAGATTCTTCTAAAATCCCTACTGACAGATCTGCAATTTCATGTGGCGGTTCTCAACAGTATGTTTGAGGGTTATTCTGGCATCAACTCCATTGCTTTAATTCCCTTCTATGGTCATCCGTGAATGTACTCACATTTCCATTCAAACATTTCTTGTTAGCCAAGGAAAATGTAATCCCATATTGCATATCATCTTCATTGAAAATAGAGGAGAATATTTGCTTGATCTTTATTGTATATAGAGAGATAGATTATCTTTAAGCCTAAAACTGTCCAAAACCTCATCCCTAGCCCATTTTAAGCCAATCACACATCTTCTTTACTTTTCTTCTTCTTTCTTATACAGCCAATGAGTTATTTGTTACTGTTTTCTGACCTTTGAACTGTAGCTTTCCTTTAGCTTTCTCCCACTCCCTCTAAGCTGTCTGCTTGCTGCTAATATTTTTTTAAGATAGTTAATTATCTCTTTAGGTTTCAATCTTTATCTTTGAGACACTGGCCCCAACTGTTTTTTGCACTTTGAATATGTCATTTTGATCTAAATCCACTAGGAGGAAGCATTCAACAAGTTTCACTGTCCTATTGCAGATCTGTGTCTTAATTTTATGACATTCAGAGAGTTTCAAGCAGGAACCAAGGGGTCACACATCTCCTTGAAAGTGCCGTGGCAACTAATCCCTTGAAGAAATGTATAACTATTCACCTTTTGGTCAGACTGGTTCCTCTGCTCCTTCTGCATTACTCCATTCCCTGAAGAACAGAAGTCACTTCTAATTTTCAGGGTAAGTTTTTCCTAACTATTCTGTTTTTCTTTTAAATGTTTTTCTCCCTCACTCATCTTTTCCCACCTGCTTTATTAACTGAGAGTTTTGATACGTCCTCTCAGCTGTTATTTCTAGGCTGAACAAAGTAAACTTGAATCTCTCACATTGTTTGTTATTCATTTTAGTATTGCTTCTCTGCACTTGATCTAGTTTTAATTCACAACTGTTGAATTGCAAAGGAAGGAAAATGGGAGGAAAAAACTTCTTTTTTCTTTAAAGTGCAGTAGGAGTTCCACGCCACGCATCTCTATCGATTTCCCCAAGAGCTGAGAAGCACTGAACTAAATTATCAGTACAGTCCCATTAATAATGATTGTCTTAATGGTAAAGTCAGTCTACCTTATGCTACAGCTTCTGATTTTTGCTGAAGAAAATAGCTTTTTATTGGTTAGTTTCACATAGACCTTCCCCCCTGCCTTTAACTCTTTGAACTGGGGTGCAAGTATTCAAGACCCTTACATTACTTTGATTTCCTGTGAAAAATGTGTGTGCTTTAGGCAGTGAAATCAAACCCACTACAGAGAGGTACAGTCTTGGCATCCTCATGTGCTTCATTGCTATGTTTGCTGTGCTGCCTCACTATCAAAGGAACAGACAAAGACGTTATGTTATTGAGCTGGTGTTTCTCAAAGGGAAAGGGAAAGGGAAGAGGTCTCAGCCTTCATGTTTTTGTTGTCTCTATTAATATCTTCTTTAAAAAATGCAATAATTTGGTGTAAAATTTGTAAATGATACATAGATTACGGGAGAGGTAACTGTTGAAGACACCAGGCTGTTAATCTAATGCTGTCAGAATAGTGCTTAAAAGGGGGCAAGTACATAAAACATTGTTTAGTATGACCAAAAATGATGGTAATCCATACGGAAACAAGACTGTATGCCACACAGCCATCAAAAAACCTGGGATTTTAGTAGGATATCAGTAGGATCCAAAATTAAGTGGGTTCAGAGGAGAACCAGAATGATTAAAAAACATGGCAAGGGCTGAAAACCGTATCACCTTTACTCAGAAGGGTTTCTGCAGAAGGTAAAATTCACCCTAGGAGGTACTTGTCATTTCTTGCACCAATAAACAATTCACTTTAGGTCCCAATTATCTTTTGCATCTGATCTACACTGGTGGAGCAGCTCTGACTCAGCTTCAGTGAGGCTTGTATGTAGTTGGCTGTCAATAAACTATTCTTACAATCAAAAATACCTCTTCCTGGCACACAGACTGGCAAAGATGACTTGTTCTACCTTTGAGTGTAGATGTGTTTAAATGCATAATCTACCAAGAGGATTTGATGTCAGGATTCAAACCAGGGGAGGTTTAGATTGGATAAAAAAATAGGAAAAAAAATTCACTGAAAGGGTTGTTAAGCATTGGACCAGGCTGCCCAGGGAAGTGGTTGAGTTGCCACCCCTGGAAGCATTTAAAAGCTGTGTAGATGTGGCACCGAGGGACATGGTTTAGTGGTGGACTTGGCAGTGTTAGGTTTACAGTTGGACTTGATCTTTTCCAACCTAAATGATTCTATGATTCTGTGACTGTTCAGTGCACACCCAAATCAATGAAATTGGTGCATGTGGCTCATTACTGGTTCTCAACAGACTCTGCCCATCACTGGAATCAGATATTGGACAGGCTGGAGCTGGGAAATACCATCTCACAAGTAGGAGGCAGTCAACTCTAAACTGTTGTGGATCACAAACTGTGCAAGTGGTTTGAAAATAATTTTAGCCAACTAAAATTATTTTAATAATATTGATTCCTTTGTAGTTGTTAGTTTTATTTGTTAGTGTGTAGGAATAAAGTCCTCTGGGTTCCAGTGGCACAGTGGTTCCAGTGACAAAATATAAAGCAAGGTTTTACAATTTTACTCAGCTCAACACAACTTCTGTAATATGAAGAGTTGTATTTATTCTTTCATTAATCTGCAGTAACACAAGTACAGTAGCATACATGCTGTGATTTATTCTGTAAATTGATCATATTGGAAGAAGTCCACTACACTGTGGCATATCTGTGGATCATGCGGTGGCTATGGCTGTGGTATATCAGTCCCCAAATGTTAAAAAAAAAAAAAAAAGAAAAAAAGAAAAGAAAAAAGAAATCAGCAGCCTTTTGGTTAACAGGTTTATAAGAGTACTAATTAGGAGTGGACTAAGGGTAAATTTTATCTCCTTTCCCTTTGGCCATTTATCTTAACATTGACATTCTTTTCCTGTTCTCCAGTAGATCTGTTGCTGCTTGGGCTTTTCTCTGCCTCCTGCACCAGGGGTAACATCAGTAGATGTTGTCTGTCGCTGCTGTGAATACACCACAGCACTCGGGTACCATGGGACCTGCTTTGCAGTGGGGTCCCCTTGATCAAACAGATCCAAAACCTTTCAAAGCTTCTGTCTCTTCATATGTAAATATTGAACAAAGCTGAACACAACATAATCAAAAGCTACAATTTAGAAGCTACCACAGTTAAGCGATCATACCTAACTATGGTTAACTGATGATGATCAACAGACTTTATTTAATAGGGAGGCTGCCTCAGCTGACAAGTATTTACAATATCAGCTTCTGTGAACATTTTAAAATATTAACATTGTCACTGATTAACTATTTAATGTCTGGAGATTGTTGATTACGTGTAATTTCTCCATTCTCAACCCTGAGATTGCCACTGCTGGTTCTCGTGGCACTGTCATATGACGGAGGAAAGGATACCGAAGACAAAGTTTCAGACTTGTCAGGAATCTCACTATAGTTTTCACCCATCATTAATGCAATAAGTCCTTCTTGTTCCGGAGCAGCACCTCCAAGACTGTCACCACTGCAAGTTCTGCGATGATGCAGGTAAGAAGCCTGCTTTATGGAGCGCAGGAGCAAATGACTCCTGTAGGCACGCTGGATGACAGTGGCAGAAGCTTCCTCTTGTCTGTGTCTGAGAGTAGTGGAGATTGGCTCATAGGATTTTTTGGATGGATTGGCAGCCATGAACTTCTCCTCCATTTGCACTTTGAGAGTATCCATCTCCCCAGAATCTCCTAACACGCGTTTGGTAAAAGCAAACAAGATGTCCAAGCAGTGGATCCTATCTCCACTGACCATAGGCAGGTCCATTGCTATGAGTTCAACTTTGTTTGGTTTTGGTACACGTAAAGGTTCAGCCAGAGCATCTGCAAAGTCTGAAAGTGCTGAGAAAGTTATAAACTGAGTTGCCTCAGGATCAAACTTCTCCCAGACTTCATAAAAGATGTCAAAGTCATCTTCCCCTAAAGGCTCTGTACTTTCCTCAGTAGCAGCATTGAAGTTCTCCAGAATAACAGCTATGTACATGTTTACAACAATGAGAAATGATACAATGATGTAACTTACAAAATAAATAATACCGATGGCAGGTTTACCACATTCGCCTATAGTATCAGTTATGTTTGGATTGCAGTATGGAGGCCCAGTGTTTAAAATAGGACTGAGAAGACCATCCCAGCCAGCTGATGTTGTGATTTGGAAGAGACAGAGCATGCTGTTAGGAAAGGTTTGGAAGTTGAACATATCATCAATGCCATCTTCCATCTTCACATAGGGAAAGTTAGCCATGCCAAAAATGGCATAAATAAACATAACCAGAAAAAGCAAGAGGCCAATGTTAAACAGAGCAGGTAGGGACATCATTAAGGCAAAAAGCAGAGTTCGAATTCCTTTGGCAGCCCGGATGAGTCTCAGTATACGTCCAACCCGAGCCAGGCGAATTACCCTGAAGAGTGTAGGTGGTAAGAAATGTTCAAATGCTTTACCAATGCCAGAAAGCAGTAAGGCTAAAATGGAAAGGATAACAATTGGTTAGAATATCACATTTCTGGTTAACTAGTAAGTCGGATGAAATAATAATATCTGTACGGTTGAAAAATATCTGATGTGTGTGTGCTAAGACCCTAGCAGAAGTCAGAGTTGAAAAAATAGCTGTAGAATTCAGCAGTTATGAACTACATTCTTCAGCCACCAGGAGATAGTACCTATTGCACTAAGGATGGCAAGCACCTTTCTGCGCCCAACTTCAAATATCTGTATTAGTCAACACTCATTGACTGATGGTTGTCTTTGACACTGGTGGTACGAATACTTCAGCAGATGAAGGCTATGTATTTACCTTGTAAATTTAACTGTAAATACTGGAACTACAAAGCTAAACTAAGAAAACAAGATATAACAACAATGCCATGGTCATCATTTAGATAATATAGTCAAAATATGTATAAACAAGCCCACTGATGTTGTGTATGCCACTCTACAATGGCTTCCAGTTCATCCAGGGACACAGCTACACCTGGATGTTACTTTATCTTTAGCTTGCATTAAAATATTACAGATCTGGTAGCACTAAAAGAGGGTTATTTTTCTAGGTATAGGTGTTTTGGATACATTTTTCTGAATTTCCACTCTAGGAATTTAATTTCTTAAGGAAAAGTCATATTATTACTGGAATCTTACTTACTCAAATCAGAAGTCAAACTAAAGAAACAAAATATTTTCTTCCCCTTAATGCCTTCTGCTATTTTGTCAGTACTGGCCCTAGGAATAGTTAAATTGGCAGGAAACTCAAATTGGCAGAGGAGCTCTTTACTCCATTCTTCTATTGCAATCCTTTCAAATAAAAGCTAATACATTTGTGCTGTTCTTTTCTATCCTGTTACACCATGTGATTCCTTATTTTCAATCAGCTATGCCTGAGTTTCCAGAAACTGAATTCTGTAGTTTATAATCTAATTCCAGTCTTCGTTTTCTATATGTATTTCAATTCTCTGATACAAAAATGGAAGACAAAACCCAGTAATTTCTATCTGATCAAATATTTCTTAGTTGGCACAACGGAAATTATCACATACGAAGGTAACAGCATGATGGGTTACTCATTCTGTCTTTCAGACTAGGAAAAAACTCTCTCAACAACCATTATGAAAGATCTTACACAACACGGCCACCTTTTTTAAAAAAATACTTTTATTAAAAGAAAAGAGCAGAAATTTTTAAAAAATCTTATTTCATATTATTTTAATATAATCGGGGGGGGGAGAGGGTTAGTTCTTTTTCCTCAAGACGTTACAGCATTATGATTTCCATTTCAACACCCATTTCCAGTTGATAAATCTTAACTATTTTTTTCTGAAAAGAACAGTAATTGATACAGTAAAGAATTTGCCAAAATAATTTTACTTACCAACAAGTGACATGATCACAACAACTAAATCAAATATGTTCCAGGCATTTGAGAAATAGTACTGCCTCAGAGCCACCAACTTCAGTACACATTCTGCAGTAAAGATGGCAACGAAGAGTATATTGATTTTGTTAAGGACCTCAGTCTTCGTTTTACTTTGCTCATAGGTTTCCACCATCATGGTGATCATATTAAGGCAGATGAGAATCATGATTACAACATCAAAGGCCTGGCGTGTTACAATGTCAAAAAGAAACCCTTGGTATCTGTTCTAGAGGAAAAAAATACATCTGACATCAGTTATGAAAGTAGGGAGTAATCATCTCTACATGTTTCCAACAGCTCCAATTTTTGTGTAGCAAAGTTCCTCAATTATGCTGAAATCAGAGAAATTTGAGAAAGGTAGAATGTAAAAATGACATTAAAAATCCCTTCCTATCCTGAAATTTAATCAGTTCCAAGGTGAGTGCAAAACCCAACAATATTTATGCAGAGAACTTAATAAATATTTAACCTGCATAATCATTCAGTCCAACTTTTTGGTATGGAATTGACTTTAGAGCACTTCCTGAGTATCAATGTAAAGACACTATAAATTATTTATATACAATATACAAACATACACTTTTCAGTGAATTAAATTGCACTTTTGCAATGCATTTTCATTTTGAAGAATTGAGACAGTCTTACCAATGGTCTTGGAATGGGTTTTTGAGGTTTCTTGGATCCTAACTTTTTCATTGCATTGTAGTATTTTTTCTGTTCTTCTGTCATAAAGATATCTTCCCCACCTAAGTATATAAAGAATTGTCACTGTTATTTGGTGAGAAAACAGCACTATTTTAGTTACAAAGTCTAAAATGCTGGAAACTAACATTCCTTCCTTTTTCGTATCTTGCCGGTACTAGCCCTTTTCATAATGTGGAACTGTGTCCAAAAAACCAGAGTGGCACAAACCATCCATTCACAGAGCAGAAATCCTGGGGTGAAACCCAGCGGGCTCAGAAAGCATGAAAACAAAGGACCTGCTGCAAACCTGGACAGGAACAAATCTTTCCTTGGCTTCCCACATCCTGGTCTTGTTGAATAACCAAAATACTTCTCACAGCATCTGTACCAGTCCACTTTCTAAATAACAAGGCTCCTGTCATGCTCAGTTCCCAAAAAAGGAAGAACATTTTAAGGAGCTGTAGAGAAAATGTCATTACGTTTGAGCTGTTGGGAAAGGGCTGGGTGTTCAGGTTACAGGGGGAAAGAAAGGAAGAAAAAGCTCATCCTGGGTGTTACTTCTGCTAACTTATATTACTAATGCTCTTGTAAATCCCAGTAGAAGTTTAAGATTCTATGTATAGTAAGGACCTTGTTCTCAAAAGACAGCATTTCTTGCGATACAGTAGGTGCCTGAGAGCACAAGCAATATACTTATCTTTTTCTTTTGTTGGTTGAAGTTGTCAATAATAACACCAACAAAGAGATTCAGGGTAAAGAAAGATCCAAAGATGATGAAGTTCACAAAGTAAAGATACATAAATAGACTGTACTCCATTTGCGGTTGCTCATTTTTCTGCAAGAATGAGAAGCAACATGAAAAATTACTAATAACAACATGGACTCAATTTAGAATAATCTTCATATTGCACATCCTCTCACAAATTGATTCCAGGAGGAACTAAGATTACTGTTAATTCTGATGAAAGTTTAAAACTACCAGTACTGCATAACACAAAATATTGTATATATACGACACTTCTGGAAGGAGCATGAAATGGTGGAAGAAAGTAACATTTGTTTCATGATTACTAAGCGCGCCAAAATTCTAGGACCTCATAGGGACATTATTGCTCAGATGCCGACTGCTACCCCTTTTGAAATTAAACATGAACCTTACCAAAATAATACACCAAGCACACCTGAAATATAACTAACCAGAAAATATGGCTTAAAAAGACAGTACTACAAAGTGTTTATACTACAACAACTCATTAATTTTATTTCTTTTATAATGTTTATTTATGTAGTTCCTGGCTAGATCATTGCAGAACAGAATAATTTAATTAATACTGATAAATTTACAATGAAAAACTTGCAGAACGAAACTTAGTCTTTGACTAATGGTGAACGAGGTTTACTTTTACTTTAAAATATTCTTTTTTCATGAAAGCTGCTTGTTGTGGGTTGTTTTTTTTCTTTTCCAACCTATCTTAAAATCTTACCATTTGCAATTGATTGAGGCCCTACTAAAGTCAATATAAACTGTTACTGAGTTGTACACTCTTGACATGATTTTCATAAGCATTTCAGAAGCATCAGTTCACTTCTTCCAATAAGAACAGGAGCTGTAAATTGCTCAGTACTTGAAAAATCAAGTAAACTATTTAGAAGTCTAATACCAAGCTCTTGTCGTTAAAAACCTTGGCTGAGATATGTTTTTTTCTCCTTAGCAAAAAGTTATTCTATGCTTACTAAGGATAAAACAAAAACCAGAACAAGAAAAACAGTTTTTCAAATTGAAAAACACACACAAAAAAATATTAGACACCCACTTTGCCCATTTTCTTAAACAGTTGTTTTTAAAATTATGTGATTCCTTTGAAGGCATAATCAAATTAGCATAGCCTCTTCATTTCAAATTGTTTGCCTCCAAAGGCATAACACTTGGTTCTGTATAACATCGGATGATACTTCTAATAAGGCAGCAAATGCCACTGGCAATATGAGCAGTAGGCAAAATAGTACTGGTGATGCCCAATAATATATTTTAAATGGTTGCTTATCCACAATAGCTCATTTTTTGATGAAATTTGGGTTTCTGTTTCAAAGTGGACTTGGGTTGCATAAAAGAAGATGCATGGAAGTAGGCGCCTCCACATGAGTGGGAACACTCAACTCCCCTGCTTGCTGATGGACATCCAGTTATTAGTAGAGTCAATATAGCATAAAGAGATGTTCAGCTGAAGAATATATGCTCCCTAGATGCCTCTGAACACAGTGACTAGATCTCCATTAACCACAGAGGGCACTTGGAGGCAAACTCATTTGGAGAACTTACACTATAGGTAACTGTGTTTAGGTGGGTAGACCTGGAACCATGTCCCCATTAGAACAGATCAGCTTTAGGATAATATGACTCATTTGCAGACGAAATGTTTACATCGGCTGATAAAAATAATTACTGAAAAGAGTTAGCACAGCCAAACAGCAGACGTGAAGTGAAAAATTCATAACACTTTTGCAGAAAAAAGCAGTTTTAAGAAAAATTACAGTTCGAATATAGTGACTGACCTCTCGTGAGTCTACTGCTGCATACATGATGTCCATCCAACCTTTAAATGTTGCCTAGAATGAGAGATTATTGAAAACCTGTTGAACTTTCAGGGTAAAAGTCTTCATATAATTTGCAATATCTGAATGATGCTGACTGGAAAAAGAGGTTTTGGTGTGGTCACACTTCAACAAACTCCAACTTTAAGGAAATTTGGCCCTGCTGTATGTGTGGTGTTTTCAGACTTTCAGAGAAAGCTCACTTGGGTGTTTCAGAACATGTCCTAGGATGCTGGCAGGACAAACCTTCACTAGCATGTTCTACTAAAGGCCTTACAACCCTCATGGCTGAACAAATCTTTATTATGGCAGATTAGGCCAGTATTTGCCCCAGAATTCCTTCTGAAATTTACTCCAGCTCTCAGACTCACGAACCTGTTGGAGGATGAAACAGCAGTTGTCCACCAGATGCTTGCTTTATCACCTGTAAATTCACAGTGGGGTCTAATTTTTTCTCCTTTTCCCATTTGTGTGCTCAAATAGCACTGGTGTTTGAACATTCTCCTGTGTAGTTTGAGCATCTGTACTGACCACTCTTTTCCATCATCCAAAGAGATGAGTTAGGAGTGAGCAGGAGGTCAAGTCCACCTGACATGGAACTGGCTAGTGAAAGCAAGCAGCACTTACCACCTGAAGAAGAGCCAGGTATCCAGAGCCAACATTATCAAAGTTGACTTTAACATTCACCCAGAATATTTTTCCTGTGTTGTTATACATTATACAGTCTGATTTGTTATTGATCAAAGGATTTATGTCTGAATCTTCTTCCGTCAGATTCACACATTTTCCAAACTTCCCAGCAAACAGATTCACTCCCATAATGCTAAAGATGAGCCAGAAGATGAGGCAGACGAGCAGAACATTCATGATGGAAGGGATGGCTCCCACAAGGGCATTGACCACCACCTTGGATGAAATGGGAAAGGAAAAATACACTTAATCAAAGATGGGCTAAAATATTTTCTCCGTGCAATAAGCAGTCTACCTTAGTGATCTCAGCAAACAGAAACCTAATATTTTACATGTAAATATTAGTCACACCTGGCATGGGTACCTTGAACCCATTCAAAGTTCCATAGTATCTCTTAGGCTTTCAGAGGAATACTTGGTACTTTTTGGGCTGCTGTGAGTCACTTCCACTTAAGTATACTACAATGTGAGTCCATCCTCATTTGATGACTGTTCCTTGGCTTCGGACTGGGAAGTCTAAAGTTTGTTTTAAACTTTTATAACATAAAATTTCTGAAGTATTCACCCATAAGCACTAGCGCTTAGTCTTACCCTCATCCCTTCAAATCGTGACAATGCTCTTAAGGGTCTCAGAGCTCGAAGAGTCCTAAGAGATTTCGTGGCAGCAAATGCAGTGCCAAAGAGGTTTATTAAAGAGATCTGAGTGGGAAGACAAAACAAAATATTAGCAGTGTCCTGGTATCCATTTCCTTTATTCCTGTTTTTTTTTTTTTTTAAAAGATAAAGTCTCCCAATATTTTCAATACCCAGAGTGCGTTATCCCGAGACCATCATTAAAGTAGGTAAGAGTACTGTCTTAGCTTTGCATCCACAAAACAGCGATTCTACTACTGCATCCTGCATCAGGACCCACGTAGAAATGCCAAAGGCAGAACTTACACCTACGATGAAGAAGTCCAGCCAGCACCAGGCATTGGTGAAATACTTCTTGAAGCCGTAGGCCACCCATTTCAGGAGCATCTCCAGCAAAAAGATGAAAGTGAACATTTTGTCAAGAAACGCCAACAGAATTTTAATGCGTTTTCTCTCATTTATATGGATGTCTTCAAATGTCTGAAATCATAATGTACAGATAAATGGCAGAAGTCAGAGATGAACTTTATAAAATGAAAGTCTAACATCATTAAGACCTCTTCATCATTCAGTGTGTATTTTACACAGATCTAAACCCCATCTTTTACTCAAATCTATGTCTGAAAAAATTTCACTTCTCCCTGTCCTTCCTCATTCTTTTTGTCTATGTACTAAACCTCTGTGGACACACATCATGCACAATGGGATCCTAGGAGACAGGCATAAATTTCTTGAAATGAATTTGCAAAAATATACTTTCAAGAGAACAAATTAGTATTAATTCATTGAATGAATTTGTTTTGATGACATAAAAAAAGATAATTTCCCAACTATAAAACAACTTCCAGAGAAACTCAGAAAAATCCAGTAAAGAGTCAGAATAGAAACAGCTTCTGAGTTATATATTTTTAGCTTTGTTCACTCTCTCTCATAATTTGCAATAACATGAATAATAGATTTGCAGTAATTGCAATAGTGAATAAATGACTGTTATGTGAAACCTCTTTTTCTCCTGATAAGTTCAAAGATATTCACTGTGTTTTCTGCTAAAAACAACTTCTCTACCTGAAAATTAGGACTAAAAATGCTTCTAAAGAAATAAATGAAACTGTAATAAACTAACCAGTGCTCCGCTGCTCAGAAGAATCATAAATATAATAAAGGATTCAAACCAGGAATGTTCAACAATCTGGTAGCAGGTTTTTCTCAGATTCCACCATCTTTCTCCTCCAAATTTTATGGCACTACCCACATAACAACGAAAGTATCGAACACAACCTGAAAGTGAGAGACAGCAATGGAAGCATGGAAGGAATGCACACGCGTGTGAAGGGTTGCTCAAAAAACTTTTGGTGTCACATTAACTGCATCACTGTTGGTTTTTTTTTTTCATGTTGAAAAAAAGAAACCAAAACCAAACAACAGGAAATATCTAATTTTGTTTGCCTTTTAACTCCTATTTATATGCATGTAATATGGGAGTGCCTTTGGACAATTTTCCATTGTTTCAAGATATTTCTGAGATGATGGCAATGCTCTCAGTGACCTGGTGTTTGGGCACACAAAACTTGAAGACTATGGGAAGAGTTGATGTTAAAAAAAAAAAAAAAAAAAAAGCCTTTCTCAGTTTCTGCACACTGTTTGGAAAGCAGAGGTGAGAAACCCAGGAACAAAAAGGCTGAGAGATAGAGAAAGCAAACAGTTGTCTTCAATGTTGCAGCATTATACCCTGTCTTGCAAGGTCTATTCATTTACTTATTTGGTTCTGAATGTATGGAGTGGTTTTATACCATGTAACTTGCAAGAATATGTCATATTGTCAGCTCCGTAGAAGGAGACATCTCCTTTCAAGCTCACCAAATTGTCTTAGAGCAGACAATGACACCAGGGCCACCAACTGTTTACTGATCACCCCATTACAAAATCCTGGAATTAATTATTTACTAATCTTGCCAAGAATTAACTCACTTAGGCTAACATTTCCTTCCTCTAGGCTAATTCATGTTTTCAATAATGTGAAAAACATTAGTCAGAAGGCTTCTGTCATTTCCAAGCATGAAAAAATTAATGTATCTTTGTGTCATATATATGGTATCTTATACACATATTATATAGTATTGTATAACTCATATATATTATTTGATATAACATACGCAAAAAATTTTAATAATTTTTCTTTCAGTAATCCCAGTTTCCCCAGTAATGTGGATCTGGGATTGAGATGAGGCAGGGAATGGCACTTGCATAAAACAGTGATTTTTTTTCTTTTGTTCACAAATCTGTGTTAGGTACAGATTTGCTGCACCTTCAGCTGAGCTCTCTAATGGTTTGGCCATGGAAGGCAGGCTCCAGCTTGGGACTACAGAACACAAAACAAGATTTTTCACATTTCTTCTCTGGAGCGGGGAAAGAAAATTCTTCATTTGTTGGGAGTGAAGGAGGAGAGCAAGCCCAGAGAGCTGTGGGACCTGCTGACTGGCTCCACATACACGAGGCTGGAGAAGTCCCTCCTGATCATTTGGTGTTTCTGGGAAGCTTGAATGTGCAGAAAACAGGAGAATAAAAGAAAACTCAGGGAATGGGTGAAAATGGTGTGGTCAGCCAGGCTGAGTGGGTGAGGAAAGATCAAGTTGGGGCACCAGGAAGAATTTTACCACAGTTATAATTCATTTAATTCAACAGACTTCGAAGAAATGAGCTGATAGACTGACTTGATGTAGTTTATTCTCTCACAACTAATACTGAGAGTGCAGTGATTACCCCTGGCTGTCAGTAGTGACAGTTATTTGAGTAAAATCTCAAGAGCTATTTCTTTGTATCTTATGAAAATCACATATTATTACACGTTTGGATAGGAAGAATTCATAAAAGTACACGACATCCTGTAACAACTTGTAAAGTTAGATATTGCACAAAGATTTGATGATTCCCAGATTCCCTACTGATTATCACCCAGTAGAAATTCAGCTTCATCCTAGCAGCTTCTCTCATTCCACTCATTTGTTGCCTTCAATGTTATTCAAGGAATAAACATTTATACTGTTGCAAAGTACTAGCAACTCAGATGTGCCAAGCGCCTTGTTCCAGTGGCCGTTGTCAGATCTCATCACAGACACTTCATTTATGTTAAACTCCAAAAATGACTTTGATGTTGTCCGTTAGAATTAAATTCATCTCACTTCACTATAGTGATCTCATTTTTGCGGGTGTTGGGTCTATACTACTGCCCGGGTCCCAATTAGAAAGAAATGGCTTTTAAGGAAAGGGGGGGTTATTTTTCAGTTGCCACAATCTCACTGTTGACTAGAGAAAGCGAGTGATTTAGACTATTTATCTGATTTATAGAAAACTAAAATGAACTGAAAATAACCTCATCCTATTGGCACAGCATCAGTAGAGAAACAAGTCAGGTTTTGACTCTTCTCACTTCCCAGTAGTGAAGCGATGAGAGCCTTACCTTCTGGAAAACATTTTTCTGGATTCTTGAAGTCTTCAGCAAACTCTGGAATCTGCCTCAGAAGATCTTCAGGATTTTTCAGATCCACTGTGCTGCCTTCAGAAGAGCTGACACTGTCAAACTACCAAGCAAAATAAGATCAGGTATGGATTCTTTCTACATTTGGCTCCAAATGAATAAATACATCAATGAACAAATAACATTAAAAAATAAAACTTGGCTGTGTTATAATATTTCAAGTAGTGTTGATAATGGAACAAACTTTGTGATTTTAAAAGTATATGAGCTCAGAAGTACATTCAGTAACTAGGTACATTAAAATACCAAAACTACATAATTGCAATATTTTTCTACATGAACCAGATGTAACTACCTAATAAGCTGGTAAACTGATGAGCTTTTAACTTGTTTATCAGTATATATAGCCCTCAAACTGCTTGGGTTTAAACCAAGAAATCATAGCCAAATGCATCCAATGAGGAGAACCAGACAAATATATCTGGTATTGTATCAGGAACTGAAACATCCATTACAGTGTTTATGAAGGAAAAATTGGAATTATATTATACATCCTTCAGTTACAAAGCTTTTCCCATCACACCATATATAATGTATGATGAGTCTGCAGCTTATTACAAATTACTTACTCCGTGGTTTTGTTCCTTTATGTTTGCATGGTGCTTTGTTACTTTTTTAATGTACTCTTTATTCAAAATTATTCTAAAAATATTTCTAATTAGTAACTGCTATCTTTAATATCATAGCGAGAAAGTAATTTGAAGTATTACATTTCTTGCAGCTGAGACATTTAGGGCACAGGCAGACTTGCTGGAATTTCCCACTCTCTCAAGATACTAAGAGAGCATCTCTCTTAATGCCTTTCGTCCCCCTCCTCGTCTCCTTTTTTGTGGACTTAATTGTCAATAAATACAAAGTAGCAGAAAGAATTTTATAAGTTATCTATTTGAATCAAATTATTTTTTAATTTTCCATTTCTAAACACTATCTTTCCTATACATATATTTTTCTGAAAAATCAATACCTAGAAAGCCAGCATGGCTTCTATTTCATTCACAGAATTCCTGCTCCAACCAACCAGACTGGCTACTGCAAGCTCAGAGCTGCTGCTGCCACTAAACTCCACTCCAGCAAATCCTTGAACAGAAACGTACCCAAGCTTGACCAGTATTGGAAAGTCAATGCCATAGAAAAAAAAAAAAAGGTTACCTCTTTTGGCTCTGGTGATGATGGTTCAAAGTTCCTGTCGTTTCCGAGATAAAGGATGCTGAATTCTTCAGAGGAAAATCCTGATCCTTTACTCCAGCTTCCTGAATTTCTCCCTCTTTCTCCCCTTTGCCTTAGGTGATTTTCATCCTGAAAATGATGTGTGGGTTAGATGGGGTTTCTTTTCACTCTTTGGAGGGTGGACAAGTCAGAGGGGAAAAAAAGATATGACATGCATTTAATGTCGAGTTTTCCACACAAAAATAATAAAATTTGATCATTTTGAAGTCTCTTACTTTACCTAAGGATAGAGAAAGGGAAAAAATTCCCAACAATCATTCAGCAAACCAAGGAACTAGTATTATAGTGAACTAGTCCAAAGTTAACTGAGAATATTGGGTAGGAATTAAGATGGAAACTTAAGGTAGAAAGCCTTGAGACTAGAAAGGGAGTATTCTGTGGTTAAAACATAACTGAAAAACTCACAGAAAATGAAAGAAACAGAACAATATATGCTATCACGTAAGAAACACGACCTTAATAGTCACCCTATGCTTAATCCTTCTACCTTCTAATAATTACTATATACAGCAGGAGAGAAGACAAAGAATGGATCAGAGCTATACATTTGTGCTATGAGTTCATGATAACCTTCTTTATGCAGAACATAGATTTTTGATCTGTCCTGTAAATAATGCCAAAATAGTTGGCATTTGTTACATAATTTTTTACACAAAAATTCCAGGTTTGTGAAGGACTGCTGCAATTATCTAAGAACAATCTATGGGCTATGTAATTACTTGTGTGTAACACAACATGTCAGCCAGAAATTCCTGCAGCAAAGCCAACAATTTATGGTCTTTCTTTTAAGACCATGAAAGACTCTTGATTTTCAAAAGGTTCCGAGTGATATTTTACCCTCACTCTAAACATTTGTACTTTTAGTTCTAGTACAAAATTTAGTAACTCTCTGGAAATGGATCAACTTATCCCGCCCTGTTCTGCTAGTGACAGTTTACTGCCATGCATGCATCCATCCATATGTATATGTACTCTACTGTTCCAACACAAATAAAGACATTTATTACCTGTTTGCTGTATTCTATGTCTGTAAATGTACTCAGCTTATCATCATCTTCGAAACCCTCACTTGTATTCTCTGCCTCAGCAATAGGGACACAAACAAATATATTGGGATTGGTAATAAAATCTTCAAGGCCTGAGCATTTTTCCACATTTTTCTCAGTCCATTCATTACTGTAATTCTCTTTACAATTTTTTATTTCTTCAGGCTTGAACCCAAGTGGGTTATGTGCAGTCAATTTGATTTTCTTCCTGTGTGCTTTCTTTACATGCCTGAGCTTTCCACAGCAGGTATCCCAGGTAACACTCTTCACAAAGTGAAACCCCTTGTGAATCTGAGCGAAGGCAATCCGGAGGTTGTTCATCTCCCCATCATCCTCTGCTGTCTGGAGACAGTCGGTACTGAAGGAGTTCAGCAGTAGTGCAATGAAAAGGTTGAGCACCTGAAAGTCATTGAAATAATAACAAAATTAAAAGTCAGGAGAGTAGCTTTCAGAAATCTAAATCATAACTTCGCTTCTAACACAGGTGCTATCAAAGGTTAGTCTTACTGAGCAAACCAAAACAGGGTAATAATGAGATGGCTATGCCTGATCACATTATATTTGGGGGAGTAAACTTCTGTATCAGAAAGCCCCATGTTCTCATGACAGTCTTCCCCACCAAGGGCTGCCTAAATTTAATTCTTTTCAGTGGTATCTTATATTAATGTAAGTATATAAATGATACTGAGAATGACATGAGAAATGAAGTTATTAAAATGGTATTTTTATTATTTGGATTTTACAAAAGGGCAGACCAAGACCAGCCAGGCAGTCTGCCCCTTATGTCCCAGCACAGGTTTGCGAGTCTGGGTAGGGCATGCCATAGCAGGATCTAGCTCTTGTGTATAAATGTACTTAGAAAAGATCAAAGAAAATCCTGATTTCAGTGGTAGGAGCGCAGATTCTGCCATTTGCTGATGAAGAATTCAATACTTGCATGAGATCTTAAAAAGAAAATAAATTGATCTACAGAGGGACTTAAGCACTCAGCTGCATTAATTCAAGCAGATAAGCCATAAGCCTTACTGTTTATTTACATCCAAATCCCAAGACGTGAAGACACATAGTTGCCTAAATTATATTTACTGCAGAGATATTCCTCATCACATTACCACATGACAAGGTCAAGTGATGCCGCGTACAAAGCCCACAAAATGTAAGAATATGGACAGTGGCTTAAGGGTGAAAGGCAAAAGAGGCTTTTGCAGTTTATAACTGGTAACTCACTCAACTGTGTTTTGGGAAACTACCTTGTTTTGACAAATTGGCAATTAAGTAGGTGCTACCATTTACAGGATAAAAAGAAGAAAATATTGGAAAACTCACCACTAAATTTCCTATCACCATGACTAGCAAAAAGACAAGAAGGCACAGTGGTTGCTCAGCAACCACCATGCAGTCCCACATGGTCTCAATCCACTCTCCACACAGAATTCGGAAAATGACGAGGAATGAGTGGAAAAAGTCCATCATATGCCAGCGTGGCTTGCCATCTTTGTGTATTTTATGGCTGTTGTCCCCATAGCATCTCCCAAAGAGTTGCACCCCTACTATAGCAAAAATGAAAACGATGATTGCCAGGACGAGGGTCAGATTACTCAGTGCTCCCAGGGAGTTACCAATTATTTTAATTAGAGTGTTTAAAGTTGGCCAGGACTTCGCCAGTTTGAAGACCCTCAGCTGTGTAGAAATATAAAACATGGTGTTAGACATCAGCAGAGATAACCCATCTTTGCACAATTAAAATCCTGCAAAAAACATTTTACGGATATTCTCAACTATTCCAGCAATGTAATATTCGTGGCACTGTCAGACTAATAGGTTTTAAAAGTATTTGCAGATTGTTTTTATTATAATTTTTTTCAACTGGCTGACACTGCCAATATAATCTAACCGCCCTATAAAGGACCAGACTAACTTCAGTCCCTGGTAAGCATTTGGCCCAGGCAAGCAGGTAACCATACAATGCACTTGATGTAAATGATGATGCCTAACTTATGCGTAACACAAAGGACTAAACCTGGGAGACAACTGCTATATTACTATAAAGGGAGTGTATCTTCTGGTAAAGCAACCTAAATCGGCCCAAAGTCTATGATATGAATACCTTAACATCATTTGACATCTATTTTTAAGCATTATTTTCTTCTGAGTTTGTACTCTGACACTTTTTTCCTAAGTTTCCTGTACTAGGATTTTTAATTTTTGACGTCAGTTTTATAACATGTCTACTCTGGAATATTTTTTCCTCTGAATATTTCTTGGTATATTCAAAAGCAATATATACATCATTAAACTCAAACATCTCAGGGAGTTTAAGGCTGTGTTTCTTATTCCTAGCGCTGAGAGGAGCAAAAAAAAAAAATAATTTTTTAAATAATAATTTCCTGCATCTTAACTGCAGACAATAGAAGTTTCCTCTACTACATTCACAACATAATGTTTTATACAACTGAGTAAGCATGAGGCATTACCAGTCTGAAGGATCGTAAAACTGACAGGGTTCCTCCTTTTCTCCTTTCTTTCTTGCTTTTGTGTTTGGGTAAACTCAGTTCAATTAAACTTAATGTGACAATTATACTGTCAAAAATATTCCAGTGCTGCTGAAAATAATAATAGGGATCTAAAGCTATGATTTTTAAGATCATTTCTGCAGTGAAGATTCCTGTAAAAACCTGTGACAAAAGAAACAGTAGCATCAGCCTAAAAGTTGCCATGAATTTATCTTATCTTTAGATCATGTTCCCACAAATACAATAACATTCACAGACAGGTCAACAAAACCCATTTTTATGAACTTAATGGGAGGATTATTTTCTGCTTTCTTAGAGGTGTGTTCGAAGCACATTAGTAAAATATGGGAATTGTCTATATCAGAAAATTAGAGTTTATAAATGGAGAATTTGCTAAACTTTAATTTTTAAAGTTACTCCTTATGTCTCTAGTGAAAGCACCCATCAATCAATCCATGGGATAAAATGTCACATAGTTGAGAATTTACTTACCAAGTTGCCTACATTAAGCATTGATTTAAAATTATCTGACATATTATTGTGCTCCAGCGCCATGAACAAAGTGTTCATCACAATGCAAACAGTGATGGTGAGATCAATAAAAGGGTCCTTTATGAAAGCAGCCACTTTTTTCTTGATTCTCAGCCAAAGCGGACAACAGTCCCAAATTAGATACTTCAAAGCAAAATCTTTCAGGCACGGCGGGCACCTCCTCTGGGATTCTTCAAGCTCTGAATACAAAAGAAAACCCCACTGCAATTGAGCGAGCTGGTGAAACAATAACGTCAATACTCAAAAGACCAGAGAAGAAAAAGGAAACCTCACGTCACACGGAGTCCCAAATCTTCCCTGTGCTTTCTACCATTCATGTGAACTGTGGACTTACTTCAGAAACCTTTGGATCAGGTTTTATTTGTCTTAGACTCAGATTTGTCCCATGATCATCTGAACAAAGGTGGATGTTTACGATGCAGAGGACACACTGCAGCTGCTCACACCAGAGGTTCTTTAGAGTCAATGCAGCAGCCAAGACACTTTTCACCTGACCCTTATGTAGACTTCTAGGACATTGCCTGTATCACACCCAACATCCTTGTCTCCTTTGACTCTCAAGGGAGTCAAGGGCAGCCACAGTCATTTTGATTGTAATTGAGGCAAATCCAAACCACAGCACCTGAAATTTGGCCTTAGGCCACTTCTACTGGAAGGATCATGGGGACCATTTCCCAGCTTATGCAAATTGCCAAACCTCTTCATTTTCTATAGGTAAACATGGGATAGAAGCTGTTCTGGCTTTGTCATTAAATTCTGGTGGTCAAATATAAATTTCACAGCCTTTTTTTCTTCACCATCAATATTAATGAGTCCTCCAAAATACTTTTGACCCTGCTGAAGTCCTATGCAAACCCATTGGCCAACTGGAGATTACTTAAAGCTAAATAGACTAGATGAGCTAAAAAAAAAAAAAGTCTTCTTTATCCTGGTCTCCTGATCCAGAAAACAATTAAACAATCTGGGCTGAAATTTTTCAGAAATTGCAAGAAAACTATCAGCCAGCATAATAACAGTCAGTGGTAAAGTGCCCCAAAAATTCTCATGGAAAAGGAAGTTAAAGGAATAAAATAGTGAGGTTAAATATTCAAAACCCAGAAATTGCCACAACTGATTTTGCTTGTGTAACGTTACTGTTGGATTCTGCATCTCTATGTCTCCACCAGTGACACATCACCAGTCACAGGGTCAGGAGCAGAAGACAATACCACAGCTCCACCCCTCAGATGCTAGAGGAACTCCTTCCACCCCCTCTCACTCCCATCCCCTTCACTATCTGTTGTGCAAAACAAGATCTTACGATAGGCTAAGGATGCCTTCCAGTATATAAAGACTGTGTGATAATGTTTTGGGTTTTTTTGTTTTAGACCCAAATTAATGAAGAAATTCCTAGCTACACACCTACAAATCTCTGTTAACCTTTAAGAAATGTATTGACATTTTGGTCTTTCATGCTAGTGTTACCTTAGGATTGAAATAAGCATAATGAGGAACCACTTACCCTCCAAGACACTGGTAATTATGCTGACTGCACTTGCTGCCCTTTGTCTCTGAAATGCCTCGTTAAAGTACTCCACTGACAGATGAGGAGGCAAATGCATCGTGCTGCTCTCATCGTTTACAGCTGGCTGCTTAAAGAAGTAAACATGATTAGGGAGATACCACAGGGATAAAACGATGTGGGATGTGATGATGGGTAGCTATGAAAGTTAATAGGAACAATGACACGCAACCAAATAAATGTACCTTTTTACAAGAATGTTAATAGATATTGAGAACAAAGGTCCTACTCTCCAGTAATAATGTTGCAGTAAATGGATCCTGCAAGCATGTAATAGCAACAGGGGAAGAACAAATCTTGGAAATAAGTGTATGAGGGCAAATAGGCCTAGGAAGTATTCCAGAAACTAATGGAAAATGAGAGACATGAGGGATAAACAGGTAGAAAAGCGTCTCTACCTGCTTGGGGAGCTTTCAGTCAAAATTTCTGCATGGTGCTAAAGGTCCTGTGAAGGAGGAAGAAGATAGAGGTACTGCTCAAAATGACCTCCCTCTACAAAGCATGGGATAAAAAGACTCCCCGGTGACTTATAATTCCAGCATTAGGAACCTTCAAAAGTATTTCAGTACTTCAGCAGAAAAACACGTTGCATAACAGGAAGGCTGAAGCAAGGAACTCTGTTTTTCGGGAATTCATCGGAGTATTAAAAAAAGACTTTCTAGTGACAACTAACTCTCCACATCAGTGTACATCATTTCACATCACCGTTTGCCATTTCACTGAAACTCTGAAGACAAGAAAAACCTCCCACTCACAGAGAAAGCATAATGAGAAAGATGTACTTAAAATAATACCTTTTACTTACCAGACCACCCTTTTCCGGGTCTTCTATCACCGGTGGAAGCATCACCCCTTCCGAAGACACCGGCTCTAGACTGTGCACCCTGCTACCTCCTCCTCCTCCTCCCATGGCTGAAATCACCCCGTTGCAGTCCTCGGCGTTGGCCCACCTGCTGCTCTGCAGGCAGTTTGGGGTAGGGGGGTGGGAGCTGGGGCTCACTTGACTTTGCACACTGGAGCATCTTCCCATCTGTGTGACCGACAGCGACCGACGTGGGATTTCGTGTTCCCCAGCACTGTGGGTTTCCCCATCACTGAAATCCGTTCTGGAATCAACTTCTAAAGTAGGTATTTGGAAATTGAACACGCTCCCATGGCTCAGTCTGCGTTTCACCTGATTTGCATTGGGACCATTCATCAGGCCAAGGAAAGACTAAAAGCACAGGGAAAGGCATGAAGAGAGAATGGCATAATATCATAGAGCAGATTTTGGGAAGCAATAATTGTTTAGAGTTTCATAACGTTCGCTATCAGTCATTGCAAGTCCAAAACTTTTCTTTGATTTAGATTTTTCAGGAAGGATTATACTTAGATTTTAGAAGGCAGACAATAAAACCTTGCCAGCTGCAGCAGCTATTTTTGTGGTAAGCTTTATATTTTTATTTTAAGTAAGACATTTTAAACAGAGAACGTTGGCACAAAAGTTAAGTTCTGATAGTCATTCACTCTTTTCTATTTCTCAGTGTTATGGAAAATATATTTTAACTGTTATTATAACTTTCCTTCCATCCTTCATTTATAGCATTTCCTTTTCAAATTAATTTTTACATATAATTCTTCTTTATCCCAAAAGGTTGTTTATTTTAAAGACTTAAGAGTGATCAGTGTTTGTAATAGGATTTGGTTTGTGCTTTCAAGCAGTTTATTTTAGTAGTAAATTTGGAAAAGCTTTAAGTATCTCAGATTCAGACAATAGATTACCAACTTTCGGTGACTGTCTGTGGACTGTGATTTGGAGAATTGTTCTTCATTATCTTCTATCCCCAAGGACTTATTTCTTGTTTTCCTATTGCTTCTTTCTTTGATTTCTTTGGCAGACAGAGAAGCAGCTTCAAGGGAGCTAATTGACAGGATATCAATTCCTTTAATAGCCAATGCCTGAAATTAAAACAAAAACAATGATGATATTTTTGCTGGGTGCTTTTGAATATAAGCAAAAAGAAAACACTTCTGTGCTCTATATTACTTCCTCTTAACAATTTCTGTTTCACAAAACTCGTTAAAAATCTTTCAATATGTGATAACACTAAAAGAAAGAGGAGCGAATTTCCCCAACATATGGAGCACTGAACAATTTTCTATTTGCAGTATGTTACATGATCGCATGTATCGGGGCTGCCAGGGGCAAAATAATCACATTATAGCTCCTATTCCTCCATATGGCATATTTGCTTACAATAAAAACACTTAGTTTGAAAAGAATGCTGAGAATATATCCTTTTCCCCAAATAAATGCTCTAACAGTATTAAAATTCTGTCTTTTTATTAGGGATCTTTGGGGCTGTATTCACACTGTGGCTGACTCTCCTTCCTATACTGAATTTAGGACAATATTTTCAAAACACAGGAGTGTTTTATTCCTGAAGCTTCTAAGCCATTTAAGTTACCAACAGACTTTTTCATTCAGCTACAATAGGTTTTAGCTCAGATGCTAATACAGTGGAATTATTCTATATTTCTCCAGTCAGCAGTCCACAATGATAAAATAAAAGAAAAATTTAAAAACAACTAAATTTTCTTTTGGAAAATGCTAGCTGTTAGAATTTTGCTTTTTCCATCTTTTAAAATATTATTTTTCTTACAGTAACAGCAGCCTTTAATGCTCATTATCCACAACAAAATTCATTCTTTCACAGGAAAAATACACAGCTGAGCAAGGAATGGCTCCTGTAGCTCTAGGAGTCACTACTTTCAATAAGTTACCCACTCGCTCCTGTTCACCTATGGAGTAGTCACTATACACAGCTGTATACAAGGAGTGATGGACATGTCATGTGATGGACAACAGAGTACTGAGACTAATGCTTGCAAGTGAATAATTTGCTTACCTCCTGCTCCTTCTGTAATAATTCCATAGCTTCCCGAAATTTCCTTTCCTTTGCTTCTGTTTCAGCAATGGTGGCCTTGTTCTGGTCTTCATATGCCATTGTTACTACAGCCAGAATCAAGTTGACTAGATAAAATGAGCCCAGAAAGATGACCAGCATGAAGAAGAGTATGTACACCTTCCCAGAAGCTCTGAGGGTCTGTAAGCAACACACCCCAGAGATAAAAATTACCATATAAAATACCAAATAGGATTTCAGTGAGTCTCTGAAAATCTTTAGAAGCATTCAGCTTCCTAGACACAATGTTTTAGGAAGCTTAAATGGAAGAAATACCTTCCTTGGCCCTTCCTATAGAATCATAGAACTATTTTGGTCAGAAGAGACCTTTAAGACCATCAAGTCCAACCATTAACCTAACACCGGACAAGTTACCATAAATCATGTCCCTCAGCATCACATCTACCCGTCTTTTAAATACCTCCAGGGATGGTGACTCCACTTCCCTGGGCAGCCTGTTCCAATGTTGACAATCCTTTCTGCGAAGAAATTTTTCCTAATATCCAATCTAAACCTCCTCTGGTGCAACTTGAGACTGGTTCCTCTTGTCCTACTGCTTGTTACTTGGGAAAAGAGACTGACCCACACCCAGACAACCTCATTTCAGGTAGTTGTAGAGAGCAATAAGGTCTCCCCTCAGCCTCCTTTTCTCCAGGCTGAACAACCCCAGCTCCCTCAGCTGCTCCTCATCACACTTGTTCCCCAGACCCCTCACCAGTTCCATTGCCCTTCTCTGGACACGCTCCAGCACCTCAATGTCTTTCTCATAATGAGGGGTTTCCCCCTCTTTCTCCCTCTTCATTGCCTATGAATCACTGGTCGCAAGCCCCATGAGGACGACCTGAGGAGGCATTGTTATATTTTTTGAAGGACAATACAGGACCCTTTTAGTAGTTTTTTTAAAGTCTGTAAACCAGCAGATTGATAAGGACTGGGAAGAGATAGGAATTGTTGGGAAATTCTTCAGCATCTCTTTCCTAGGAGTCACAGCTTGATGTGACTCCCACAGAAGGGAGGATGTGGGCTTGATGACTTGCAGCTATTGCTTTTATTTGAGGTTTCTTGTCCTCTCTACACATTTTCTGCTTTGGCTGTTGCTCTCCCTGGAAGACCAACTCTGAGTTATGCACAAAGTTGATACCTGCTGGTACAGACGCTCCCAGTAGTCCTGGGTCATCAGGCGGAACAAGGAAAGAAAAGCCCAGCCAAAAGTATCAAAACTAGTGAAACCGTAATCAGGATTTGGCCCAGTTTTCAAGCATACATAGCCTTGAGGACAGATCCTAGAATAAGAATAAGAAATTGAGTTCTTTTAACCATGCAGATTTCAAGGAAAACTTTAGCCTATATGAGAGTTCTGACTATTGTTCAGCTCTGAACTGTATAGGTTGCAAATCAAATTTCTATTCAGATAGTATTGGCTGGAAAGTGGGATGGAAGAAGCAGCACCCACAACCCAGCAACAAGAGAAGAAGACAGGCTGGAGCAGACCACCAACCCAGCATGACTTCCTGTCACCAATCCTCATCCCCTGCCCCTTCTTGCCCGAATCTACCCCCCAAAACCCATGTTTTCTTTTCCCAGTTTAACATGCATGAGCCTTTACAAAGAGTGTCTGTCCTGTGTTATATCTGAGATCCTTCATGTTTTCAGTTCTCTTGTACATCCACGGGGAAGAGAAAGACAGCACTTCTGGAAAGGCACAAAGAAATTGAGACCTGAGTAAGCCAACTGCAGGTCCATGCTTCATTCTCTAAAAGTATTAAATTGGCTGTTTACTGTATTTTGTTGTCTAAGTTCCTTTTTTTGCATTCAAGGAAAGCCTTGAATTTCTGCTTTTGTCTCTTAGGACTGAGCAAAACCAGAAGCGCTGAGGCAGAGAAAACTTCCAAACAAGAAATATTTGTAAGTGCACTTACCCAGCACCAGAACCACACAGCAAAATATCTGAGGTGCCTTCTTTCTTAGCAAAGTATGCTATAAAAAAGATGGGGGGGGGGAATTAAAACCAAAGCATTTTCTATCACAAATCCTCTATCCTTTGATATGAGTAGGGATGAGCAATCAGTGACCCGTAAGTGTATGTGCACACACAACAAATTGCTGTCTAGCAAATGTGAAATAAGCACTAAAGTAAGAGAGACAGGTTTCCCACCCTCACAGTGACTGCACCAGATTGCAAGATGCCCTGTCCTCATTTTTAAACACACATATGTGTATGTACAAATTTCAGTCCTTAAATCAGAAATTATTTTTTTTTTTTTAAAATTATCACTTTGGCCACATCTGCATAAAGGAAATCAAGAACTGGAAGGCAGAAGCTCAAGCCCGGTCCCAGGTTTGGTAAATGTTAGCCCAAACTCTGGCACAGTTTTGGCCTGTAGCAATTAGCCATCCCCAGGACAGTGCACAAACATCGTTTGTGGGTAGCACAGATGAGTTCTGTTTCCAATGAACAATAAAAACAAAGTCTTGTTTTGAGGAGGAAGAAAGAGTATATTTTGGCCGTGTGGGTATACACCATGCCGTGTCACTGCCCTGCTGAGCCAAACAGCAGGTCCTAACCCTGCTTAGTTGAGAAGTACAGATTTCTCCATTAGGACACTGGGGCTGTGCCCCTTTTTGACCTCTTCCCCTACTTCTCCTAGCGCAAGTTTCTCTGATGCCTGAGCTAGCCACAGACTGAAAGTAATAGCTTTAGTTCTAACAGCCAATTAGCCCCATTAAGATGTGGGTTTATTATCCCAGATGCAAGGGAAGTCTCATATCTTCCTGGTGCTTCTCAAACTCCAGCTGTGCTCATCAGGGAAGTCAGCATGATTCAGAGCCAGCAGGAATCTTTAATATCAGCTCTACCGTACCATGTAAATACACCATAAAAAGGTGAGTCACTATCTGGGCTACTTTCCACCCAAATTTTGTTCAGTTCTGCTCCTGCAAACTGACAAAAAGTCTTTTTAAGAAGATTTAGTGATTGGGCTTCAGAGAATTGTAATGAGTGTAATAATAATCTAGTTCTCCATGTTGGAGATGGGAGGTTCACACCAAGTCAGGACCAAATCAGCCTGTAAAAAATATCAAAAAAACACCCCCATTTAATAGAAAACTGGGCTTACAGTGCTAAAAGTCATAAGTCCTGCCAGAAACTCATCTAGCCTTCATTCAACCTGTGTGGGACCTGTTCCTATTGTCATCATTGCCAATCACTGTGCACACCATGCGTATGGCACGGGATGTGAGCAAGGCAAAGCTTGTGAAGCAACACAGATTTTCAAATTTTTGAGTCCTACTTTCTGCTTTTATACAGCTGCAATCTTTTGCATTAAAACAAACAAACAAACACACAAGGAAAAAAAAAATATGGTTTTGTTTCCTGTTTTTTCAGCACAGAAAATTAGGGGGTTTTTATATGTAAATTACTTCTTTCTTACGTGTGTTTTTTCAGTAGGTACAAGTTTCTTGCAAAAAGTTTTTCCTCAAAAATCTTTTATATAAAGGCTTTCTTCCCTTGGACTATGAAATTTATAAATAAATCCTGTCTGAACAAGTCTCCCACACAGAGGGCATACAAAGAGCAATCCTGTAAGATATTTTAATGTATTTCATCATTTCCCCTGGGAGAATGTTTTTCTCCCTACATAACTACTTCTATGTCTGAACTCGCTGGTGGAGATTTTCTTCAGTGATGAAGCTTTCTGCATATTTCTGGCATATATATTTCTTCCTTTGAGTGTATATTTTCATGCATTTTGAGACTTTTCCTTTCTGATTTGCATCTTACAGTTGCTGTTCCCCTGAGAATGCTTTGGTGTGTTTTCAGATCTCTGCTCTGTGCTTCCATCACCAGCCTCAGTCAAGATATGTACATGAAAGATGTATATATAATATAACTTACATGAGACATAAAATACGTATCACCTATATGAGATACATATGACGTGAAGAAGAAAGTAACTTTGATTTTTAAACAAATTTCTCGGTTTCAAGCTGAAGAGTACTTTGAGCAGCAAAATGAAGATGTACGGGCTCTTCAGCATGTAGTAAAAGGTGAACTTTGGGGAATTACAGCAGAGAATGAGCTAATGCACATTTCAGTTATTGTCATATCATTCTGGGAAACAGAGTTGGATGTTACTGGAAAATTTGGGAGTGCTGTTTCATATAATGAAGGGAAGAGCAGCATTCCTGGATGCCTGCAAACTGCTCTGGCAATCTGAGGGCCATTATCAGGCTCATCCAAATATCAATCACCAAAACATCAATATAATTTACAGCAGTAGTTATCCATGCATGCATAGGTGTCTATACTTTCATCTGAAAAAGAATTAAGGAGAAGAATTACCTGTATCATTAACAAACATTTCATAGGACTCCCATCTTTTGTTAAGGAAAGGAAAAGTTTCATTAAGGTCTGTAGAGTTCCTGACACACTTTTGTCTTAGATTGCCCTTAAAAAGTTGGAGTCCTATGAGGGCAAAAACACTCAGGCAGAAAACAGTCAAGATCATCACGTTGGCAAGTTTCTTAACAGACTGGATAAGTGCTCCTACAATGATCTTGAGCCCTAGGAAGACAATATATAAAGAAAAAAGAGAATGAAAAACTGAGATTCCTACGTCATACTGGATTAGAGTTGAAACAATGTACAACAACCAAAGTACCTAAATTACTGCATAGCGTGTGCCAAATGTATTTGCAATGCAAATAGATTTTGGATGAGAGAGTAATTAATATGAGAACAATATATTTTCCTTATTTGATTGACCCTATAATTTCCAGATGTTCCTTTAATCCCCGTAAAATATTTAGGCAAGGATGAGGAACCAGAGATACTCTAGTTTTTCTTATCCAGAAAGAGTAATATGCATAATTCAAATGAAATTTCCAACACTGGTAATCTGTGAAGATACCGGAAACAATAATGACTATGAGCAAAAAAAAAACAGAAAGAGAAGACAGAGGCAACCTACTGGTTCTTAATTTGTATTTTGTCATGAGAAATAATCCACTGGCTTTATAACTAAGAGAAAAATGAAAAGGAACTATTTTCCCAGGGATAATCAAAGATGGTTAATAATAAACTCTGCTTAGACACCAGAGGTGCTGAACCATAACATATAGAACAACTAGAAGAATATTCTATGAAACTGACATTGTAAAGTGTTAACAAAATCTTTAAAGGCATAATGAAAATAGATTAAATACAAGGTTGTTTCTAACGCATGATTTATTCTGGTTGGGCCGGGTGAACTGAGACACTGTGTCCACAAATTCAGCTGCCTGCAGTCAATGAAAGATACAGAAAAAAGGAGGAAAAAAAAGAAAAAAGGGAAAGGCAAAAGCCAACATTCTGATTGGAGCAAAGAATCAGTTGTAAGTAGAAGAAAATATTCAGCAAATAGAGTTTCTTACCTGGGACTACTGAAATAGTTTTCAAAGCTCTCAGAACTCTAAAAGTCCGAAGGACTGACATGCTTCCCAAGTTACTAAATGCTCCCACGTACCTGTAAAGTCAGGATGTGATGCATCAAGTGGCTGAACGGAGTAAACAGTGAAATTATTTTACAGTGGTCATTCTTAACTGTCTTTCTGAGCACATTTTAAGTATTAATAAACTACATATCAAGGACTTGTCTAAAGTCTTCTAAAATAGAAACCCATTTCTTGATTATTAGAGCTTCCTTATGAGGTACCTCTCAGCTTGTGCACAGCTGCTTTTGTGTCAGCATCCTAAAATAGCGTGCATTTAAAATATAAACAAAGAAAACTCTCAAAATTATTAATTTCAGGCTGAAACGCTGGGTCAACTGGTTTGATCTCCCTTTTGTAGATGCACCTAACCGGTATAAAAGCTTTCCAACTACTGCAAACTGAAGCTCAAACTATGATGTTTTGGAGATAAGGAGCCCAAATTTAATGCACTGTCCTGGTGTCCATTCTTGTGTCTATTTTCAAACTTACACTTTCATTCACAGGATCAATATATCTGTATTATTTGACAGCCCAGCTATTATTTTTCACTGACTGAAATGCCTCCATTCCCGTGCACCTCACAGAGTATATCTTGCTCTGATCGCTCCATTCCCTTCTTGAAAGACTCAAACAGTGTTGTTATACGGTGAGCCATAAAACAAGGGGAAGAGTCAATGTCCCAGATAGTTTCAGATGCAGTCAGGGCCCACAGGGTGGTTTTTCGTACTGCAGGCAGCCTTTTGCACCAAGAACTTCAAATACAGAGCACAACCTCAAGTAATCCATATTTTATATGTACCCACTTACGCCAAAACGATAACGCTGAAATCCAGCCAGTTCCAGGGATCTCGAAGGAAGGTGAATTCATTTAGACAGAAACCTCTTGCCAATATTTTTATCAATGATTCAAAAGTGTAAATGCCAGTGAAAGTGTATCTAAGGAAGGGAGAAAAGTGCCAAAGGAAAATAGCAACATTAGCAATTAACAGAAGAGACACAGTTAGACTATTCACCATCTAGGCCAACGAACCAAGCCAAAGCTGCAGAGAAGTAATGGAAAGACTGCTGTTGATTTCAGTATATTCTATCAGTATTTGACTCCTATGTAGTTTGAGACTGTAGTTGACTGCAGTCTGGGCTTGGCTATTAACATGCACGACTGTAATGCTTTTCTGGCATGCAACAATTTTTTTCAAACTCTTTCATGTGAGTCCCTATAATCTGAGAAACACAAAACTCCCAGCTACTTGCTAAAATAAAGATCAAAATGTGTACTTCCTCTGGGTTCAACTGTCCAAATGAGCGTGCGATATGCTGTGTATTATTTACTTTGGGCACACAGCAACCACTTCTGTGCAGAATGTTTAAAACACTTGGAGAAACACAAGAGTACAGGATTTTCAATTTAAGATGGCAATTATTTTTATTAATGGAAAATTATCAGTAAAAGCTCTTCTGGGCTTATTGAGTGCACTTACCATTTCAACAAGAACGCGATCTCCCTACGGAATTCAAAAGGCATTCATTTGGTAGTCAGCAAATGCACTAAGAAATTATATGGATGCAGTGCTTCCCTTTTCATTTGGAAAGAAGTGTTCTGAAATTATTATTGAAATGCAGTTGAACAGCAGTTTTGATGCCAACAGCAGGTACAACTCTTATCTAACATTTTATGCTCTCACAGGTAGAGAAGTACCTCAGCATCTTCTGGAGACAGTATATTAACACTACGTAGAGTCTTGTTCTTGCTCGCATGAGGATTTGCTATTCCCAGCAGTTTGTGTCATGTATCATGAGACAGAAACAATTTTAGAGTTATTTCTAAAATTAAGTATTTTAAAATCTTTTCCTTTGCAGTAGGTGTTAGAATTACAACATTTTCGTGCCAAATTGAAAAGTGAGAGCTGAAATATTCTTAAAAGAAATAAAAACGTGGGATTATCCAGTATAAGTATGACTGCAAATGCATGGATTCATTGTGATTTAATGTTGCAAGTGTTGGCAGGGCTGCAGACAAGAGCTTTACTTTTTAACAATGTCCCACAGGCCAGAAGCTTCTGAGAGAACATTTTATTAGAGCAAATACTCAGCATTTCACTCTTATTAAAAAGAATTTTAAAAGGAAGCAGCTCTTGATGTGCTTCAGCAGCGTTGGCAACAACAGGAAACGTGTCTGGATAAAGACACGCCTGAAGGATGGGGTGCTATCCAGAGGGACCTGGACAAGCTCGAGAAGCGGGTCCGCCTGAAGGATGGGATGCCATCCAGAGGGACGTGGACAAGCTCGAGAAGCGGGTCCGGGTGAACCTCAGGAAGTTCAACAAGGCCAAGTGCAGGATCCTGCACCTGGGTTGGGGCAACCCCTGGTATTAATACAGGCTGGGAGATGAAGAGATGAAGAGCAGCCCTGCCGAGAAGGACTTGGGGGTACTGAGGGATGGAAAGCTGGACTTGACCTGGCAATGTACGCTGGCAGCCCAGAAAGCCAACCATATCCTGGGCTGCATCAAAAGCAGCGTGGCCAGCAGAGAGAGGGAGGTGATTCTACCCCTCTACTCAGCTCTGGTGAGACCCCACCTGGGGTACTGCACCCAGCTCTGAAGCCTCCAACACAGGAAAGACATGGACCTCTTTAAGATCCCTTCCAATCCAAACTGTTTTATGATTCTATGATTCCACCTTGAATGAAGGTTTCCATGCACGTATCAGTAATTCTATATAACTACAGAATTAAAAAGCATACATACCCACAGATACTTACTCAACATACTTGTTCCATGAAGGAGATGGAGAAGACTTATAGGACTCACTCAAAGCCATGAATACACAATTTGTTATAATAGTGCACATGATAAACAAAGTGAATAATGTAAATCATGGGAGTGAAGGCAAAGAATAGGACATTGTTTCAGAAACGTAATGATATTCTATCAGTCATGGGCATAGTATCTGGTTTTGAGTTTAAAGCACACATAAAAACAACATGCACAAATATTTTCCAGTATTGACTCATATTAGACGACAACACACTACCATTCTTATTCATGCCATCTGGACTTCTGTATGGGGTAGAGATCTGCTGCTCTAAACATTGCAAATTTGGTAAAAGAATCCTCAATCACTCAAAGTGTGGGAGGGTGGATGATTTTCAGTTTCATTTTATAGCATAAAAGTTAAAAACTTGCCCAAAGTCACAGAGTTGAAGCCCAAACATTACTCCAATTTGGCAGAGCTGTGGTCTTCTGAAGGGGCAGCCTGAATTCTGCCAGGATACTTGCAGGTGTCTCAAAGGACACTAGCTGCCCACGTTTAGCCAACTCTTGGGGCTGCCCAGCTGCTCTCTGAGACCTCCTGATGACAGGATATGAACTTGGGCATATAGCTCACATGTAGACACCTGAGCTTAAGCACTTGGCTCTGGAGCTGAATCTCATACCTTGTGTCATACCACACATTTTTGGAATCCAGGAAGTAAATGCATGGGAAAGACATCTAGCCTTTCCATCATCCATCCTCTCCATCCCCACAAAAAAGTCTCCTGGCTTTAGCTCTAGACATGGTCAAGCCACCACAAGCCCAGGAGCTGGACTGCTAGAGTTGAAATGTCAGTATCAGCCAATTTGCTGCCCAGGGAAAGCTTCAGAAGAGAGGGATCGCTCCTCCATGGTTGTCTGTACCCTGCTACAAGAAGAACTTTGTACCCATTGCAGCTAACAGCACCACATGGCCAGGAGAGGGCTGGAAACCTAAAATCCACACAGGGACGCTGCAGATTCTGCACTGGGCCTGGTTCAGCCCCAAGCGACAGTGTTATTACTCTGGCCTCATTCCCCAGTGCCAAACTAGAGCAAAACACTAGTGATTCCCATCCCCTAAATTTGATGTATGAGAGATCTATATTATGTTTATATTCTGAAGGCATTCCCTGAAACAGCATGCCGGAAAATTTTCACTTTGACGTACCAAAGATATGTATTTTTAATCTGATTTCCTAATGAAACTAGGTTTGCATAATTTTTCTTTCTACGTGTTTTCATATGTGTACCTGCCTATCCTAGCCTTTTTTTCTTAAAATTGGCCAATGGTTGATCAGATTTGTCACACAGGTTGAATTTAATTCCTACAGTTTGGGAAAACAGAAGAGGATTGAGAATTTACTAGATCATAACATAATTGAGAAAGGCTTCAACATGAGATATTTAAGGCATCGGGTAATTGGACATGAGAGATCATTCTCAAAACACAAATCTGTAGAAGATCAGGCTTCAATACCCCCAGTCTTCACAAAAGTATCTATGTCTGAGCAGCACAAAAGCACAAGACAACAATAATTTCCAAGGTAATTCATAATCAGAAGTAATCTGGTGCAAAGAAAAGACTAGATTCATTCAGTGCTCTAAAATATAAAAGCACGGAATTATGTGGTTTTTTGTAATGAAAGAGAGCAAATGAAGCCAACAAAAGGATATGAATGTACTAAAATTTTAATTGCTGTTCTTCGGATTGGATGGAAAGGACTGAGGATCCATAAGGCACGTGTAGCAGTAAATCTGAAGATTGTTTTCTTTTTGTTTAGCACTATGAAAATCTTTAAAGAAATAAACAAACATGAAGTTAAGCTTTCAAGAAAGGGACAAGTGATCACATTTTTGTAGTTTAGTCTATTTATTTAAATGGGAAGACTCTTCGTAATACTTCACTATCATTTCATCATAAACTGATGAAAGAGTTGATACGCAGTAACTATCAAGCTGCAAAAACCCACCAAAACCTCCGCATAAACTTTCTTTTTAAACCTTAAGACTTGCAAAGAGGTGTGCACGGAACTCATCTTGCTTATGACTATTCTCTTAAAATAAATTTGGTTCTCATCGAGTCAAGATACACTGACGTGGAGGGCAGAATTGCAGCCTTTATCATTATTTGTTGTTGATAGTGATCCTCTAGTCTAAGACTGTACAAATTAGTTAAAAGTATTGAACATTTGTCAAGTCACAAGCTAAATTTCCAATGGATTATTTCCCCTTTTTCTGTTCTTCATTAAAAATTGTATTCTTCAATACTTCATGACTAGTATATAGAGCTTGAATAAGTAGGTTTTAAGGATTCATCAGTAAATGTTTTTAAACAATTTTTATACTTAGATGATAATTTATTGTACACGTAAGCGAAGCATAAGCATTGAGACAGAGGAACACATTGTTTTAAGCCATAAAATTTAAGAAAATTTATAAAATTATAATAATTTCTTCTAGATCTGACTCAAAACCTCCTTTTCTTCAGTTATGCATTATATATTTTCTGCTTCCATTCTGATTCAAATGGTAATGAAGATCCTATTATTTAATTCCTATAATTCAAAATTAGGCTTTTTTAAAGAAGATTACAGCACATCATTCAGCTGTGCCAACTGCCTGTATTATTATAACCTTAAAAGGGATGACAGTTTTTCCAAGGAGCTGTAAGCAAAACTGCTTCATAGATCATTCACATAACTACTTTTTAGAAACACTATAAAACAGATTAAAATCCAATCATCTTGGTTGGCTCTAACCTTATGATCTTTGTAGTATGGGTCGAGATCCTCCAGTGGTTCCCCAATGAGCTCTGGAGGAGGATTTCCATAGAGAGCTGGTAACTTCTGGAAAGTTTTTAGGTCAAGTTGAGGACGTGGTTTCTCCTCAGTTTTCTGGTCTATGGTATTTCTTCGAGAATTCTTCTTGGCAGCAATTCTCTTTTCGATAGCAGCCAAAGATTCGTAAGTGAACTTGCGGAAGTTGTTGGTACCCAACAGTAAGAAATCAGCCATTTTTCATTCTTTTCTTTGTCACTGATTCTGTCCAAATAACAGAAAGAAGTGGAAAGGAAGTCAGGTAACTCCAAAACAGGCAACTTAGGAAAATTAAACTAATGGTTAATAACATAAAATTTCTGAGCTATCAGCTTCAAAAAAGAAAAAAAAATAATAATAAAAATATCAGTATTTTTTTTTTCAGTTAGATGTCAGTTCAGTATTTTTTTAAAATTATGTGTATCTGATAGAGTGCAGGCAAACTTCTATAAACTTAATAGTGTGTTTAGAGCACCTCATTTAAGACAGCTGGTATCCTCAATGCTCTTGAGCTGTTTTCACAAAAAAACCTACAGTGCTGGTTTAACCTGGTATTTGGAAATTGTACAGTAAACCCCATCAAACTGCAACATTGAACATGTGGATGCTGTGTCTGCAACAGAAGGCCAAGTATAAAATTAACTAGTGCAGATGTAAACATTTGTGTGGATAACCCATCCTGGTGGTGTCAGCACAGGAACGGGTAGTGTCCAAGTGTCAGAAGGTTTAATTTGTGACTCATAGGGCCAATAATGACCGACAGAGTGGACAAAAATGCTTGATTTGACAAGTATCAAGCATAAAGTTTATATTTTATAACATAACAACAAAACTGAGATTATACTAGAAAAATACTCTGCATTATTTAATGGAGAATTTGGGTCAGGTATTGGATAGGATCCATTCAACTAAATGCCACCTGAGTCCGTGCTTTGGCAGTCCAGTGAATCCAACCTTCTACTTTAACACTGTGAAAAGCTGCAAAGCAAGTCCATGAACTACACATATATTGACAGTGAAAAATCTGAAAACAGTACACAAAGCAAGATGATCCAGACCTGCATTCTTGTGCTAAACTCACTCAAAAGCTCTATATGTAGATTTCTCTAAAATATTTCCTTTGATTATGACCTCTAGGAAGACATTGTTGATTCCGTAGAGAGTCACGGAGCTACTGAACCAGTGCAGTCCCACCCACAGACTGTGAAATGGCCCCATTTGGTCAGGACTTTACCCAGGATGGATCACTGCTGAGTCTGCATGGAAGAGGATGACATTAGGGGCACACAGCCAGCTCTTACCATCCAGAAGCTGCCAGCACCACTTCAGTGCATCCTTCAAAGCTGACTCCATAACTAGCAGCCAGAGGTTTTCTTAGAAAGTTTAAGCTGTCCTTCCTGGACAACTTCCAGGTGACCGGCTCTTGCACCTTTCCTTTCCAGGCACTATATGTGACATCCCAGGAAAACACAAAGTCTGAATCAAGAGGCTTCTGTTTTACTGAAAATAAATAACTTTTCCAACTGTGTGCTGAGTCCTTGTACCTTCCCCTGCCGTGCAATGCCATTTCGTTTTTCCCCAGATACAGCATGACTTCAGTTGCCCTCACATTGCTGAGCTGGAATCCAGTGACAAACTAACTGCAGTGAAATCTCTTCATTTTTGCAGTCTGCCTGCCTCTCCCATTGAATAAGCACACAAAATTATAAATATGAAAATTAACCCTTGCTTCCAGCACAGAATGGCAACATTTCTGGAACAGAAATAGGACATTCAGGCAAGAATACTTATTATTTTATGCTTTTCAAGATCAAGCACAGAGTCTGGAAGCTGTGTGTATTTATTATAGCAAAAATGAAAATGATAACATCCAGACCCAAGTTTTCAAGTTGTCAGCTGGCCAAAGTGGTGTTTGTTTTGTTGATGCTCAGAGCAATTTAGATGTTGTGGTAGCAGTAATGAGAGCTGTGAATGATGCATGAAATGACACAATTTCTGTGCAATGCACGGAGGGAATACAATAATTACTTTATTCTGGTTTGTGCCAAATCATCCAAACGTACCCATCCCTCCGCACAGCACTTCTGTAAAAGTCTACGTGATCTCAGAAGTTCATCATTAAAATTCTGAGTTTGTTGGAGATTCCTTTGTGGCTTTCTCTCCTCTCCTCTCTTCCATTAAACCATCTTCCAAATCTCAGAAAAGAAATTTTGATTGTCACACTGTTCTCCCTCAAGATTATAAGAATGCAGAGCAAAACCTAAAATCTTGGCTAAAGCCAAGGGTGGAAAACAAGATGAAGTATGAGGAGTCTGCAGGTGCTTGGCCAGAGCTGGAAACCAGGGAGGGGAGCCCTTGCTAGTACAGGTGCTTTTATAAATTGCTCCACAGATGAGAAAACATTAAGGAAAGGAAATTAAGTCTTGTGCTTGTGCCTCATACCTCAGGAGCAAAATTTCCTTTGACAGCAGCTGCAAGCCCTGAAGTAGAAGGCTAAACTAGACTTTTCATTCATGGGCAATTCTGAGCTACTCAGCCTTGTCCTGAATAAAATCTAATGATTATTAAAAATTGAGTAATCCAGAAAAAATGTTCCTGATTCATTCAAGCATCTTTAAAAATATCCCCAAAATAATTTCTGTTACTCATAGACTCAGGGAGGATAGCATACAAAGTACGCTGAGATGTATTTAGTTTTTCATATGACCATGGATAGACTTAGCAATTTGACCAAAAGAATTATTAAGTGTTAATGCAAAACAATTTTTGCCCTTGATGTCCTAGAAGCAACCATTTTGGCCTTTTCTCAAGACTTGAAATACCTACAAAATAGTATGATGCCTAATATCTCTTTAAAATGAAAAGTTTTCTTATCTTTTGACTGACTGAAGACCAGAGAATGCAAAATGAAATCAACATGACCGAAGAAAAATTACAAGAAAACAAAACAAAAGAAAAAGCATTTATAGTTTGTTCTTTTAGCTGTCAAATGTATTTTCTATGAATTATTTCTCAAATACCAAAATGTTTAGCTAGATAGCTTTTGGAAGTAAGGTTGCTTTCTTCTAAATGTGTTTTTCTCTTTAGGAATATTCATTGTGACAGACTAGGAAACAAGGTTATTGTCAAAGATGTTTTCTTTCTTTTTCTTGCTATTACAGTCCACCCAATTCAATCCTCAGTTAATGAATAAAAGTTGTTCTCAATTATTTGATTTCCTGGCTTCATGCTCTATTACGGAAAGAGGTGAAAACATGTTGACAGTTACTGTGATCAGCATGACAATGGTAATTAGTACGATCAGAGTGGCCAGGATTACCTTATCATTTTTTTTTTCCCTTTAGCTTGGATGACTGCAATTCTTGTCTGTTAAAACTGTCCCTTTGGTTTAAAAAGATTTTCATAATATGCATGGAAATTATCTCCCAAGTAACTGGAACAACAGCTGTTTGAAGGCTGCATGTGAAAAGCCCTGTCCTATTGGAACAACTGAAATGTTATTAGTGCCTTCACTGTAGTTCTTTTTTGTGCACTTTTGCATCTTATTCAGTGATAATATCCAATGCCTGGAGGAACAAAGTTAGGGACTTTAGGCTGATCCAGTTGTTTGTGTCTCCAGCAATTGTTTCAGGAGCCAAGAACATCAATTGGAAACATCACCTTGGAAAGACATGCCAACTACACCACCCAAAGTTACTATGATAGACTTGGGCTGTGTTGCATCTTTCTACATTTGCATTTCCAGCAGGTAAGACAAACCTTTCTAGAGCTGAACAAGGAAAGATTTAGTTAACAGCAGTTCAAAGCTTCTGTAGCCCTCTCCTGTTCTTTCCTCAAAGACTTTTCTATGTTTTGAGGGAAAAGATTTAACTGAACCAAACTCACATTTTCTTAATGATCTTTAAAACATCTATGCTAATAACGTCTGTATATTAAAACATAATTTTTTTACTATAGAATAATTCAGGTTGGAAGGGAACTCAGGAGGTCTCTAGCTGAACCTACTCGGTAGGTCAGTCACGAGTTCAGGGCTTTATCCAGGCAAATCTCTGAGGACAGAGACTCCATGACCTGTTGCTGTACTTGACTGTCTCAATCTATTTGGACCCCTTGTTGTTTCAATCTATGCCCCTTGCCTCTTGCCTTCCAACCATGCACCACTGTAATAATAGAAAAAGAAATAAAACATTGCATTAATTTGAAAGGTAAAAGGCAACCTGCTTCCCCCCTCCTCCCCAAATGCCTCTATATAAGGAAAACAAATATTACACCTACTTCAGCCAATTTAGTCTACCTATTTATGGCAGCCTACAAGAAACATCTCAAGGCCCTGAATAACACCATTCAGTGTAGATCCATTGAGATTGGCAAGGGAGACAACAATCAGCATATTTGCTTATTAGTTTCCCACCTTTAGAATATCACACCTAAGATTAACCGAGCTATAGCACCTTCCTTTGAATATTCCAGATTCAAACCCAAATATTTTTTACCTTCCCCAGACAACCTGGCTGAGAGCCCCAGCCCTCTGAATTTCCCAGCACAGCATCTGAATGAAAGGAGATGGCAACAGCTGATCTAGCTGCCTTATATCTTCTTTGCAATCAACAAAATTGAGGATACAGACCAGCTAATTATAAGAAAATATACAGATTAAGACACATGAAGAGTGCCGAAAAATGCAACTGTTTTTTTTCATTGCCTATAAAACAAAACTAAAAGTGAGGTAATTCCCACTCTTTCAGACTGGGATTTACAGTTTACAGTTCCCAGCACTGGGGAATGAAAGTAGCAAACAGTGTGGTGATTCAGAAAACAATTTACAAAGACCTGATAGAGCCTGTTAGCATTTAGCCAGAAAGCCCCTTTAGGTGGGATCCATCTCACCTCACTGCAGACATCTCAGAGTTAGACAGCTACCTCTCCACTAGCTCTTCAACTTCCTGCTGAGCCACCTTTTCACATCTCTTTCAGGATGAAATGACTCACATCTCAGAGTGCCAGCTGACTACAATTGATGACATGAGATGTCTCAGGTGAGGTGAGATAAATTCAACTCTTTGCATCCACTAGGACTACTCTTCTTGCTACCTTAACTAATGGAAAACTGATAAACTTCCAAAGATTAGTAATTCTACAGTCATTGGTAGGACTGGGCAAACATCATTAGTCGCCAGCAGACTGTGAACACATAAAAA